GAAACTATTTTTTTGTTTAATTTCTTGTTCATGATACCAACAATTTTCATAAAGAGCAGTCTTGACTTGCTTTTCGAGGGTTTTAACGACAGAAGGACTAACTCATTTTTGTAATCTGTTCACGACTCCTTCATTAGAGACATTCCTCATAAGAGACATTCATATTTTAAAGCATTGCATTGCCCTATCGTAGAGTATTTTGACAGAATGAGTAAATGTTACATTATCAAAGTATTTTGACAGAATGATAAATATATTATATTATATTATATTATATTATATTATATTATATTATATTATATTATATTATATTATATTATATTATATTATATTATATTATATTATATTATCCTAACAGGAACAACAATAACACCCAGAAATCACTTTCAGTAAAATTCAATTAATGGAGAAAACTGGAAGTAGAGTTTAGTCATATCATACCTCCCATCAAGTGTCTAAGGATTAAGATATACAGAAATTGCACTGATTTTTTCCTTTTACAGCAAATTTCAATTTTCATATGGAGATGCTGGCCATATCTCCTACATGTTCCACTCTACTTCATAAGTTGTCATGAGAACTCATTCTTCTGAGAATAAATGAAATATTGATATTAGCTACTAAATTTTAACTCTGGGAGTGGTAACTATTGAAGTCCTACTTACACCACAAGTCCACCTTTTAGAAAGCACAATGAAATTCTGAGGGAGTCTCTTCAAGTTTCCTTTTTTTATTATTTAGCCTATGACTATTTGGGCACTTCGATAATCATCCATATGAATGCCGCTTTGTAAAAAGGTTTTCTGTGATCCAGAAGTCACTTACATATTTTTGAAACAGCCATATTTTTCTGAGATAATTTTGTAGTAGAAACAGAAAGTTACTGTGCAGTGAAAACCAGCTTTAATTTTGAACCACTTATTATGCACCTCTGAACCTGAGAACAGAATGTCTGCTGAGTAAACAGAGTCCTCTCAAAAGAAAAAATAATAATTAGTAGAAGAATTTTTCACCATTTAATTGAGAAAGAGCACATGCACCCATGAAAGCACATATGAGCATTCTTGCTTTGAAAAAAAAAGGAGAGAATAAATCCTATCTGGAATAGGGAAGAAAGTTTCAAAAGACTCTTCAAAGAGTCTCTCAACTAATCCTGTGGGAGACTCAAGAAGAGGGAGATGAATGTGGGGAATAAAAAGCAGATCTTTAATGAAACTCCTCAAGCTCTGTGTATGCATATGTGTTTTACATATGTCTACTGCTAGAATTATTTGCTCACTCCTTGATGGGTATTGCTGTATTGCACTCTTCAAGTTCCCTTCCAAAAGTAAGTTGAGACCCAAAAAATGCAAAGGAGAAATAAACAAGAGAGAGAGACAGACATTTGGTTGTAACAGCTGCTGGAGGTTCCAGCCTCCAGGCAGCCCATAAAGATTAGATATATTGGAAGTCTGCCTTTGATAACACACTCACACAAATGACGATGCCAGAATTCATCTGCTGGCAGGGAGTGTAACCAGCTAAGGACCAGAGAATCTTAAAGCTCAGAATGTTCATACTGAAATGCTGCAATAGGCAGAATGAATGATAGAAGATTCACTGACAGTGACAAAAAAATCATTTTGGAAACAGGCTTTCATGACCCTGTTAATCTTTTTGTGTTCTGGCTGACCTGTAATCTCATTATGGATTGAAAGAATAACATTGTTTTAAAGTTTGCAGCATAAAATTGAATAACATTGTTTTAAAGTTTGCAGCATAAAATTATCTTCAAAACATTTTGTATTGCATCAAGGAAAATAGTTTTTTGGTAGTTCTATAAATAAAAAGTTATGGTGAAACCTGAAGAGCACTAAGCAGTAGTATAGTAAATAATGTAGGAATAACCTAAAATGAAAATCCTTCATATTTCAGCAGTTCTGAATGCCGTAGTACCTTTTCAATGTTCCTTAGTTTTAACAGCAAGTCTCACAATTTTTCCTGGAATTATGGGACATAATGTAAATAAATATAAATATATATTATACACATATATATGTATATATCTAAAATATATACATATATATAAAATATATATATATATATATATATATATATATATATATATATATGCATATATGTGTATAGGTAAGGAGGTACATATTAAAATGAAAGGACTGGAAAATGGTGCACATTTGAGAAACCTAGAGAGAAAGACTAGTATTTCATTGCAATTGGGAGAAAAATAGTAATTAAGTAAAAACAGGTTGTGGAGGAAAAGAAATCTTACCTCAGGAGGCAATCTGCCCTACTTTCTTTTCTCACATTTTGAAATCTATGAATCTTTTACTTGCTTTATCACTTTCCTGATTCCCTGCAGGCCAGAGCTGACAGCTAAGTCTCTGTTTTATCTTAAACTGTTCAAAGCGTGCCAGAAAATTACTTACCCTGCTGAGCCTGAAAGTGGCAGGAACCCACCTACTGGTTACCCCTAGACCAGGTGATCACTGTTGCTTGAGTGAAATCATAATGATAGTCAGTTAGAAGATTGTTACAATATTATATCTTTTACTACTTCCAGTTGAAATCCAGAAACTGAGTTGACTTTTTTTTAAATTATTATTATTGTCTGTAGAGGTAACTATTTGTGTGTTGAGCCACTCTGATATCAGCACAAAAAGATAACTTTTCACCCTGTGTTATTACCAGCTCTTTTGTATATGGAGAGGGTCAAGTAGTTGCACTGCCTGTAACTGTCAGCTTTGTTCATTCTGTGGGCTCTCTTCACTGTCTTTGAATACAACCTTTAAAAATCCTTTCTATTTTTATACTATTCCACTTGAAGAATTAGGTTTAAAATACACTGTTGTCGCTACACTTTGGCATGATAAAATGCAAGGATAAGGTGAGTGTGGTCATATTCATATCTCCAAAAATAGGATTCCACTGGAATGTCTATAGTTATTTCATTTTAGTAGGTGCTAACTTGTGATAAAAAATTTATGTACCTCAAACAGTTCTCTGTATTCAAGCAAAATGAAGCAGAATGGGAATTGCAGACTATCTATGCTCAGCCTGTATCATGAAATAATATGCTCATGTACTGCATTTCATCTTCAAATTTTACTATCTGTATTGTCATCTGAAATAGCATATAAGTAACTGGTGTATGAGATTGTGAGGTTAAAATTCATCTGAATACAGATGAACCTACAATTTGCAATTCTCAGGAGGAAGTTATAGCACCATTCTTCACTGCTTTTACCTCTTGTGAGATAATTGTTTCTTTTTTGATAACTAAGGGGAAAAGTACCACCAATGCTAGGCATGGCTCCTTTTATTGTGACAGGTTATCTTTGGATTTTGTGCTGGTGAGAATATTTGCAGGGAATTTGTTGCTTATGTCCTGTTAACTATTAACAATCAAGTTTGAAGGTAAAAGTTAGAGGACTTGTAAATCCATGAAGGTCTGTAAAACTGACCCAGGATGAGTCTTTCAATTCTTCCCACTATTCTGAGGTAAGAGGTAGGATGTTTATTACCTTTAGTTCTGCACATCAGAAATTTCCTGCTTATTTTTGCAGAGTGGAACATTTCCCAAAGTCTCTCTAAAAATATCAGGGATGTCATTTTGGGTCGTTGTTTACCATATTGGCTTACCATAAACCTTCAACCCTAGTCTTGTTAAGGAAGCATTCTCTGCAACAATATCTGTGGTTTTATTTTGCTTAAAATTTGATTATATTGTTGGGACGCTTTGACTCATTATACTGTGCAAACAAAAGAAATGGTCTCTTCTCCAGTTTATGTTGGTAGATCATGCAAGAGTAGAGGCACATTACCTTGAAATGTATACCTTGAAAAAGGAAATAAATGTCAGTTATATGGTCTTTTTCAGCTATTTTAGGTGCATAGGAACTTTACATTAATTGTGTTACTTGTTGTAATGTCTTTCTTTGCTCTTATTTTGCTCACTCTTGGCCAGTTTAAATGCCAGCTTATTTCTGATTTTTGGGAATTTGTGAGTCCCATGAATCCTTATCATGATGTTGTTGTAGGCTCTAGGGTATATAAGGATACTGGGACTGAAAAGACACTGGGTAAAAAGGCACTACTTCCTCCTAAATACATAGACATTGCATTGCAGAAATTAAAATCTGAAGACATGTTTCAGAGGCGTGGTAAGAAACTTGGATAGAATTGCCCTTGACATGGAGGTTGTGTACAAATGACTGTTCAGTTATTTATGTTAGTTAAGTAACTTTATCACATATTGTTAAAACATTTAAAAAACACAGAAAGGCAGTTGAGTAATTTTTGTGTCCTTCACAAAAACACTGTTTATAAAAGTAGTTCCAAAGTACAGTGGTTGCTGATTATTGTGTAGTGGTGGGCCTTGGGTTGTGCTGAGGGCCATCATCTGAAAGGACTCAGCACCTCCTGAGAGATCTGCTGCAAGATGGCATCAACCATATTTTGGATGATTTCTCAAATAGTACAATATGGTTGCTAATGTGAATAGGGGAAGAGAAACAGATGTTCCAATTGCAAACTACACAATGTGAAAGCTTGGGTTATCTAGGCACACATTTTTTGCCATCACAGGTTTGTCAGTCTCTGTCTTCTCCACTATTAAAAAAGGGACCAATAATATCTTTACTTTATAAAGGCATTGGAAAACAATTTGAGTTTTCAGGGTATATTTGAACAAATTCTGATGATATTGCTCTCTTTATTAGATAGACAGATCTGCCAATGGGCTGATGAAAGAAATTATGATGAATTAAGATGACAAGCTAAAAGAAATTAAATCCAGCAGATGCAAAATTCTGTAATATGCAATATTGCTTGTCCAGATTTGTGATAGCTGCTGTAATTGTTTCACTGCAGGAAGACGTATCAGTGATGTGGCTAGCAAGGCACAGTTTTCAATTAGTTTTTTAATATATGTTTGCTAAGCAGAAATGTGAAATAAAAATCTGTATTTTAAAATATTAATTTATTTTTTTCCTTTCTTACAGCTTGTGGCCAATGCAATCCTTTTTGTCAGTGTAAATTTGTATGGGGTCTTTGTGAGAATTTTGACAGAAAGGGCTCAGAGGAAGGCATTCCTTCAGGCCAGGAACTGCATTGAAGACAGGCTGAGACTGGAGGATGAAAATGAAAAACAGGTCAGTTTCTAAGCCTTATTTATTTTTCTCTGTTTCTCCTGAGATGACTGTAGTTAAGTGAATCACAGGTTAGGACATTGTTGCCAAATGCATGCTAGGACATGTGTGCATTTCCATTGCATAGGAAGTGCTGTCTTCCCCCATCTGCTTCAGGTCTTCCTCCCGAGAGGATGCACAATCATCACTCTTCATCTGCAGAGCTCAGAGAAGGTACAGACTGACTCCACAGCTACTGTCAGCTCCAGTGCCAGAGGGGATCTATTTTAGGGCTGAGTCAAAGCCAACGTACTTTTGTAAAATAAGATTGTGGTTATTTATCTGTATGGATGTTTTTGGGTGGGTGTTAGATGCACTGTAAATACTTTTCTTCTCTAGGAGTGTTCTATAACCGGTTTGTCTTCATGACACTGATAAAAATGTCAACATTTTGGGCACAAGAACCTGCACTGCTAGCTGAATAAGTATAATTGATTACAAGAATGAATATATCATATTTTTGTACAACTAATAATAAGAATAACTGTGATAGCAATCAGTATCTCTTCTCAAAAATCACCTCAGTTATTTGATAGTTTATTTCATACAATTTTATCAGTCAGCCTTCCAAGCATATTTGGAAACAATATACAAAGAAAATGCTTTATTGTGGACCTTGCTGTTGTTACTCACAGATCTTGATGCCATTTGGGTTTTCCCTTTTGTTTCCCTCTATATGTTCTCAATATTCTTCACACATATATTTGTAACTCTGTCACCTATTGTATTAGTAGCTAGTTTTCCCAGTACTTTTCTATGGTCTTTCCCTAAGAAGAAAGACAAAACAAATGCCAGAACTCCAAGCTCTGGAGGGTACAGGGCTCCATGCTATCTTGGTTCTTCCTGGGAGCCAAAACTCAGAACAACTCTTTGATATACATTTCATGGGCAAAGTACAACTAGTGCTGAAGGGGACCCCAGAGAAGGGGCTTGAACTCGGGAGGGAATTGCATCACCACTTGTCCTCATAATTGGTGTTTTTTATCAATTATGCTAATTTTCTGAACATATAAAAATGTACTTACCCCTGGGGAGGGATGGGCTTTTGTGGACATCTTTCCAAAATTGCCTCTGAAGATGTTCAAATAAAGTTCTGCTTTTATATTACCTCCTTACTAAAATTAGCTCAAGTTCCATTTCCAGGTTGGGAAAAATACAACAATCTTTGTCTTTTATAGCTTAAACCTGTCATAGCTTAAACCTGCTATTATCTCTTGGTGTGTGAGGTTTGGACTAGCTTTTTCTTTCTGTATAGGTGATGAAAGAGAGTGACACTGGAATACCTCTGTGGCATGGTGGTTACTTACACCAAACAAGATGGCAGGGTCCTCAAAGCTTGTGTACCTCACACAATTTTACTGCCCCTCATTTGCAATCTCTTTATCAAGTCTGTTTTTATGTGTGGAGTAACACACATAAGTACTTTCTGTTACGAGTTAAGTAAATTTGTGAGCTGAACATACTCTGATAAGTAGACATCTTTTTGAACACTGCATGTCTTTGCTGGCTGTGTAAAAATGGCTTTAGGATCAAAGCCTTTAGATTTACTTCTGGTCTTTTGTAATCCAAAACTGCAGATTTTTTAAAGGCACAAATGTGTCATGAGTGAATTTCCATGGGATTTAAACAAGCCTGCCATTTCTGTCTTTGAAAACCTAATACTGGGATCCAGCATGAAAACAAAATTGATTTTTTGTGTTTCTCTTGTTAACACATTAGCAATCTGTCTTATATATTATCCATTCATATAGAAACACAACAAACGTGTTGGGAAGGATGAAAGTTTGACAAGAAAGTCTCACAGATATGTATGCTTAGCAGGAAGATTTTTGAATGTAGAAGCTGAGGAAGGAATAGAGATGGAAGCAAGTTTTGATATAGAAGAAAAGAATTGCTGAGCCAGTCTTACTGGATAACCAAGGAGGCAAAGGGAATGCTAGTTAGAAGGGGGTTTTTATGACTCAGAACAAAGGATAAACCCACCTCAAACAAGATGTTTTTACCAAGCAGAAAGATAGCACAGGCAAACAAGTCAGCAGATGTTGTAAGTAGAAAAAAGGTCTCAGAATTTTCCACTGCAAGAAAACTGAAACACAACTTCTAGGTTAAACTGAAATGTACTAACATTTAGTGATTGGAGAATACTAACATGAATATGGTAATTGTATTAGTTATGATAGGCTATAGATAAAAGTTAAGGTATAGATTGGTTCTACTGTATTAAGATGCTCAGCAAAGAAAAGTATATAATGCATTTGTAACCTAAACTAGGGGTCTCCAGGTCTGCCTGCAGCTGCAGCTGACAGCTGTAGGCACAGGCTCTGTCGCCCACGACCCTGGACTGCTCTAACGTCTTGCATGTAATAAACTGCGTTTTGGAAGAGCCGCCTGGAGTCTAGCATCTCTCATTTAGGCTCTTACACAAAAGCAATAACATTACACATAAATGCCATTATTGTTGATAGTATACCTAGATAATCCTGCAGATGTTTTTCCAATGCAGTGTAAAGGTTAGGGAAGAGAATAAACTTTTCTCTTATGCTTGTGAAATTAATTTTATGCATTACAGTGTAAAACTCAGTGCAGTTGAGAAATATGCTAATTAGCTGTCACAAATACCACCAAAATACTTTATGTGGCTGTTCTCACACTATATTAACATAGCTCTAGAACGAGAGTGAGAATTAAGACATGATTATAGGCTACAAAATTATTCTGCAGTTTTTGTGGCATAACATACTCAGAGTTTCCATCTGGCAGCACTCAAGAGTGTTTTGAGAGAAGAAATGCTGCTGACCTAGTTCAATTTTTGTGATCAGTCCTGTAATATTGTTCTCTGAAGTATCAACATTACATGTTAAAAAGGACTGAATGTTTTCATCAGACTTTCTTGTCTCATCCAAAAGCTCTGCTCTAGAAAACATAGCCCTTTAACACTGAGAATTGTAACCCAAAATGGTAAAATTATTCCCCGATATTTCGGTGCAAGTCTCTTAATGGAAAGGAAAGAACATGGTCTTGACTTTTGAACAGACACAACTTTCTGGAGTTAAAGTGTTGACTGTGTGAAACAGACACCACAGATGAAACTGTAAGTGAGATTTCTTCTTCTGTGTCCTACTTACAGTGAATTCACCTCATGGGATGTATTTGTAGTAATAGCCCCACAGGATAATTTTGATAAAACTATTTTTGTGAGCAAGAGCAAATATCTTGTGTTGGCACGTATTTTTGGATTCATGCAAACAGCCTTGAAAGTGTTGCTGGGGAGAAAGGGAGCAGAGAGATTCTGTTTATTTTAAAATTCAGTGTAATGCTCACCCTGTTGTCTATTATCTGTGGTCACAATGAATAACTGGCCTTCATGGTAGCATCATCCATTTGTTGCATTGCTGAATGTTAGATTGCAATTCCACCAGAAGCAAAGGCCAAGAACCAAGTTTTAGATAATGAACAAATAGTTAGTTACAATCATCCACTTGGGATAAGCTTTTTCTCTTGTTATTTATAAATCTCAGCAGCAAGCCATCCTCTGCAGGGCAAACAGCTAAGAATAATTATTGTGAAGTGGGTTCCTTTCCCTGGAATTCCATTTTTTCTCTTCATGCTCTTGCATGTGAGCACTTCCCCTCACTCCCACTGCACCATCTCTCTGTGTCCACTTCCTTAATTCCAGATAATCCTTTGCCTGTACAGCAAAAAAAGCATTGTCACCTAGCTCTCTGAGGGACTCCTGGTCATAAGACATTCCATCTGTTCTTCCAGCAGTACTTCACCCCTTCCCAAGTACAAAAGGAGCAAGTAGGGATGGGGAATGGGGGATGTATTCAACACAGAAAAAGAAGGAGTCTGCTGCTGATGGAACTGATTGCCATCTGATTAAAAGGGGATATAAGTAAGGAAGATGTGGCTCACCATGTATTAGTTGCAGGTGTAGTAGCTCCTGAAGTGGAGCTGTGCTTCGAGGCAGAGATATAATTGTTCTTCTGAGGCCATCTTAATTTGAAAAACAACTGGACTGCTGTCTTTAAAGACCTGCAGACTCTCATTTTCCAAGTGTCTCTTTCAACATCTTTATAGTTTTGTTGTCCCCACAGTTTTGTGGCCATCACTGTAACTGGGTACTAATTAATATTCTAAGTATGTGCTGTGGGAAACAACTACCTTTTATTTGTCATAGACTTGTTGTCTGATGAATTGATTTGGTGCTTTCCAGCTCTTGTTTTGTGACATTGGGAATATTCCTACAGTAACTTCTTCCATACCACTTACAACACTGTAGACTTTCATAACCCCGCTCATCTCTCTTTCCATGCCTGTCAACTCTTTGGTCTCCTGATGTATGGAAGCTATATCCTAGCCCAGTCTTGACAACTTTGTAATAAAACTTAATCACATTTCCTCCCTTTCTTTCTCTGCAAATAAGAATATTTTTATGCATATTGATACACTAAATAAATAAACCACATCATTTTCCTTGGTGAAATGCACTTGTTGTAGCACAGGTTGATATGAAAAGCGCCTGTTGCTTTCATATAAGGCAGGCTGGGAAAACATTTCACTTCATACAAACTTTCAAAGCCCACATAAGTGCCTTAAATATCTTTACCGATTATTTAATTTCATAAGTACATGCAAGTATGTTCGCAAAATAAAGCCTTCTTTCAAACCATTTGTTTAGATTTTTCCTTCCCTCCTACATGTTACTTTTGTACTTCCTCACAATTACAATTGACAGTGGAAAATCAACTGGAAAAAGTAAAAATACCCAGAACGGGTGAATTGCTATTCTGAAAACGAATTATGAAAGCAAATCTAGTTTTTCAAACCTTTGGGACTGGAGAAATGTATTTATTAATGGCAACTGTCTTTCAAGAAATAGTTGCGTACTTCACTACAATGCATGAAATTTTTATCTATTTAATATAAGAAACTGAAAGAAGCACTTAAAAATAACTGGGAAT